GGAACCGAGAGGTGTCTCCTTAAAAATCTTGTCCTTGTTTGGAAAGTGCTTCCTCCTTTGGGAGCTTGAAAGGATTGATCCAGGCTTCACTGAAGCTGGACTTGTATCTAATAATTTAATTGATTTTGTGCAAACACTTGCAACACAAGAGCAAATCTCTCGCTATCGCTGTGTGCCAATGGGTAGTTTCAGGTTGACTGTGCCAGCAGGGCTGCAGACGCTCTTTTGTCTCTGCTGCTAATGCTGGGTGGGATTGCTCCTGCACACTGATAACCATTCGCTCGCACGCTAAATTACCGGAGGTGCTTGCAACGGCAGTGCAAAAGTCAAAGGCTGATCCTTGCAATTTCTCGGAGTTGGTATCAACGGGTTGGTCTCAGCATTTTACTAAGTGCTAAAAAAAAGAAGAGGAAGAGGTTGACAGGGCAGTGGTGTGGCGTGGCTGGCTTGGAAGCGCTTGCCCGTGGTCGGCTGGGCAAAGCTTTCCTGGGGGATTGCCCTGGCAGACAAGTTTGTTTCTTGCAGACAAAAGCAGTGCAACAGATTCCCTTGTGATCCTTCAGCCAATCTAAGCAAAGATCTTTGAAAGCTTCCAAAGACGTGGGTATTGCAAAAGAAAGGCAGATTTGGGTCGTGCGGCCCCTTATTCTATTAGTAATTGATATGTGAGTGGGTCTGTTGAGTTCAGGGGAACTAGAGACACTCATACCGTGGGCCCAGAGGAGTAAATATTGGAAGGTCAGCTTTGGAGCCTGCAGAATCACTGAGATTAGCAAAACAAACTAATGGAGCGCTATCGTCTGACCTTTGGTCTCGTTGCGCTTGAGCAACCCTCCGAGTGCGAGGGGCAATCTGTTTGCAAAGCGGGAAGATGAGCACCGCTGGGTAAACCCAAGGATGCAGCTGCTGTAAAGAGAAGTAATGCCAGTGTGTTTGGCCTGTGTGTAGTAGAGTTCCTAGCTGATTACATGGAACTAACAAGTAATTAAGATGGCAGTAATTAATGCAGTGGGATAACAGGAGGTTCATAGCTGCTCTGCCACAACAGGTCACACCGATCCAGAAACATGATAACCTTTGTTGCTTACCTGTGAATAGCTGATACTTCGCTGCCTCGCTTATCATCTGTGGAAGAAACAGCATTTTAGGGTAAAAATCCAGGACTGCATTCCTCCACCGGTGTCAAATAACGCAAGCTACCTGCCAGGCAGTGAAAGCAGGCTGCCCTGCCCTCGTATCGAGGAGAGCAGAGCATGAAGGTGACAGGCTTCTCTGAAGGTCCCATCTGGAACCAGCCTGTCCAAAGTCTTACCTGCAGGTTCTCGGTGTCCAACGCGGGGAGCAAACACAAAGCTGTGTTCTCTACAAGCGTGGCTGCTTCTTGTACACACCCGAGATTCACTTTCAGTTGAAATTCCTGACACTTCTTTGCTTTCCTTCTGCTTACAGAGAGCCTGGGACTACGTTCTGGAATGCAAACCAAACATGAGACCACACCGGGGCTTTGTGAAACAGCTCTCAGACTGGGAGGCCCAGCTCTACGGGACCACGCTCACTGATGTCTCTGAACCAAATTACTGACAGGTAGCAAAGAACACCCAGCAGGGAAAGGCGCTTCCCTGTCCCTCCCACCGCGTCCGTAGAAAGCTCCTTGAACTCAGTTTGAAAAAAGAAAAGTAATGGAAGGGCTTTCATCTTCAGCTCCAGTATTGTTTTGGACAAGTTTTGGAGCTGTTAGGGGAACTCGCCGGCAGTTTGGGGAAAGCAAATCCTGCAGGATGTGTCCCGGTGCGTGCCGCTCACCTCTTCTGTGAGCAGAGGGGATTATAACCCCGTTATCGAGTGTGCTCCTTACCCGGGGCATGGGGAAGTCATCAGGGCTCTCTCTGAAAAGGCTCGGCCATTCATAGCCCGGGAAGGTAAATGTAGAGTCTGACCGTGCCCGCGTCCAGCCCGGGTCGCTGAGGACAGAATGTCCCCGTGGCAGCAGTCCCTCCGCTCCGCGTGCGCCTGCTCAGCCGCCCGCAGAGGCGGACGCGGCCTCCCGCAACCCC